AAGAAAAAGAAAAAGAAAAAGAAAAAGAAAAAGAAAAAGAAAAAGAAAAAGAAAAAGAAAAAGAAAAAGAAAAAGAAAAAGAAAAAAGAGAAAAAGAAAAAAAAAAGAAAAAGAAAAAAGAGAAAAAGAAAAAAGAAAAAAAAAAAACAAAAAGAGGGTGAGCAGGCTGGAGTGCCCAAGCTCACAGTACAGCTGACCTCACACCTCAGTAACTGCTGCAGCTGTAGCAAACTACCCCCCCCTTGGCTGTGGGGATCAACCCTCCTCCTGGCCAGGCCTTTGCTGCCTCAGTGCAGAGGGCTGCTGCTGAGGGAATCTCATGGCATGAGCCTACCTACAGCACAATGTTCCTGACACTCGCTCTGCTCCAGGTCAAGCAACTGCCACACTCATTTCATGCAGGGGACATGTCAGTAGGAGAGCTACAGACCCCAAAGCCCATGGCTCCCCACCTACCCAGCCCTACTGCCCATCTCCATCTGAGATAGTGCTGAGATTGAATGGCAGTTCCTGAAGAAAAAAAAAACACAGAAATGTCCTTGCTGAAATACATCTTCCTGACACAGTTCACTAAGCATGCATGCAGGTGTGTTTCTGACAGGCTGCCATGCCAAGCTTCTGCCGCTATAAAATCATTTGGAGCATGTTGTCCACAAACCCAAGCAGATATGGTGCTTGCTCGAGCCCTGGATACCTGACCTATTGGTAACACAACCAAAAGCCTGACTTCAGGAGGGGAAAGGCCAGCCCAGCTGCAAAGCTGTTATGACCCAGGCCCTCGGATGGATTCCCAACAGCACTGGGCAAACAAGACAAGAATCGTGAGCACACGAGGAGCACAAGAGAAAGAAAAGTGTGGGGGAGTTATGGGGATATCAGGAGAGACGAGCAGGGTTGGAGGACAAAGGTGTTGATGGAGCTTGTTGGAGGTGCTGTGGAGAGCTCGTGTGTGGAAAAAGCAGTTCAGTGGAGCAGCAGTGAAGAGAAACGAGGGGCCTGGGGAAGAGCTGAGGCAGGGAAAACAGTGGCAACAGGAGGTGTTTGGCCCCACCATCACGATGAAAGAAGCAGCTTTGAGAACTGCTGTTCTAAGCCATCTAGGGATGCGCAGTACTGTTGTTATCACACAGTGATTTCAGTGGTGGTGTAACCCAGCGGCCTTCTTCCTCCCCGAGATCCTGCCGGGCACAGGAGGTCAACCGGGTGGCTCTGTGATCCAGCGGCACCATGTGCAGAGGGCCACGGGGAGCGAGATGCCGAGGTCCATTCGCCTGCTGTCATGGCAACCCAGCATCCCCATCGCAGGCCTTTCCTTGGGCAACCGGTGGGCAGGTCCAGTGGCCAGTCAGGAGGGACAAGCGGCAGGACAGGCAGGCAGCCCCTCAGCTGGGCAAGGAGTGCCACCGTGTGGGAGCAGCCCACATTGCTCCCTCGTGACATGGGCAGCAAGGGCTTCAGGAGGGCGTGGAGGAGAGAACTTGAAAATAAACAAACCAACCAATAAATCGTATCTCAACACACACACACAACCAAGTTAATGTGAGACACATCCGGAGAAATTATCTCAGCCAGGAACCTGTTTCCTTGCTGGAAGCCAAAAGGTATCTCTTTTCTTTTGGGTAAAAATGTCCTCTTGGGTAAGGATGTCTCCGTACAGAGCAATTCACAGCCAGACAGAGCTGAATGCTCCAGCCCTGGAGAGGCAACCACATCAGCTGCCATCCAGACTGACCACAGGACTGGAGAACTGTACATTTGGAGGTTAATTTTGCTGACAGGGTGTGAAGGTGTTAATACTGATACACAGAAACCAGGATTTAAAAAAAAAAAACAACAACTTGGCAAGGATTTCTGTTCCTCCCTCTGTTCCACACTGCTCCCCTTTGTTGTCTGGATACAGGAGGACGGAGCATTTGAGTTGTGCAGACCCCTCTCTCAAAAAGGGAGGGAAGAGAAGACTATCCAGGGCAGATCCACCAGCTCTGGCCAGGGCTTCTTCCAGAAAACTGCATCTCATCAAGACCTTCTACATGGCCTCAGTACAGACTCCAAACAAGGGACAGAAGACAGAACACGGTGTGGGGCAGTAGCCTGCAATCTACCACTTACCTTTCTGTTAAGGGTCTGGTTTTCCCCTGAGGTCTGTCTCCTCCCTGGACTGCAACCATCTTTTTGAGAAAAGGGGGAAATGCAGCAGACCCATAAACACCTTTTTCTTCAGCCTCCACCTTCACAGTACAGGTGAAACTGCTGGTCCAAGCAGGCCAGGGCACTGAAGCAGGTGATGATGTCTGAGGAAAAAGTGAGCGTTAAAAAGGGTGAATGACAGCCCTTGATATGTCAGTGGCAGCACAGGAAATGCAGCCTTAGCCAAGAGGAAAGAGGCACAGTAAGACAACCAAGTCTCTTCTGCACAGGTTCCACCTTCCAGGTATTAAATCATGACCCCCAGCAATAACTGTCCTTGGGGCTCAACCAGCAGAGATCAGCTCCCAGTCCCTCTAACACCCGTTTGGCTACAAGGGACATTTATCAGCATTAGAGACCCAACACAGTGCAGGGGATCCAGCAACAAGGTGACACAGTACAGGACAGACACAGTGTGGACAAAGCACCTTTCTCTAGGGCACCTTTGAAGCTGGACCAGTTATTTGGACTCATCTGGTGATTCCACCCCCTCCCAACAACAGGATCCTCGCTTACAACCCTGTCACCTCTACAGCAGGGTGCTGGATACCAGGGAAGCAGTGTCCTATGGCAACCGCAGCCCACAGTCACTCCTGCCCTCTCCCCCCACTGCAGGGATGACAGGGGCTGCCAACCAGTCAGCCCACAGCTCTGACCTCCTCACATCTTCTTCCTCTGGGCTGCTGCAGGAAACCTGGGCCTCCCTCAGCACCCCAAAGTGCATCTCTGTCTTCTCTATGCATCTGGTCTCTGTGGACTTTGCCAGCTTTGCTTTCAGCTTCTGCTGCACAGCTTGGCAGTAACATGTATTCCTTGCTGCAGGGCAAGCTTTCCATCTTCTGAGCTCAGAGCAGCACCAGTTAGCATTTCAAGAACTCTGTTTTCAGGTAACATTTCTCATGCTCAGTTTTCTCCTCCTGAAATGGGAGGAGGGTGCATGCACAGGAATTATATCAATCATCAAGACGGAAAGAGTTTTGCCAAGACTGAAGAAGTTAAAGGACAGCAGATCAAGGAAGAAGCCCACTATGTTCTTTATGGAGAAGTCACTCCTCAACCCACTTTGACCTGCTCTCTCCAAAACACCACAAACCAGCAGGAAAGCTCAGCCACAAATATGTTACCTTGTACTGCAGCACATCCCACTCCGCTGAAATAGCCTTCAATTCCACAAAGATATTCTCCACTGTTCTTCCCACATTCTCCCACTCCATTATATCCTCCTGCTCCTGTGTGTTAAAGACCTGCAACACATTTTCTCCTCTGTCTCCACTGCTGAGGCATGGGGCTTCTTCACCTTTGATGTGTCAAGTAGAATCACAGAATCATAAAATATCTCAAGTTGGAACAGACCCAAGAGGATCATCAAGTCCAACACCCTGCTTCTAGCAGGACTAGCTAAAGCTAAACCATATGACTAAGAGCATCATCCAGATGCTGCTTGAACTCTGACAGGCTTGGTGCCATGACCACTTTCCTTAGGGAGCCTGTTCCAGTGACCAACCACCCTCTCAGTAAGAAGCTTTTCCTAATGTCCAATATGAACTTCCCCTGATGCAGCTTCATTCCATTTACTCGTGTCCTACCACTGCATCCACTGGTCAACAGAGAGAGATCAGCAGCTCCCTCTCCACTGCCCACCTTGAGGAAGTTATAGACTGTGATGAGTGCACCCCTCAGCCTTCTCTTCTCCAAGCTGAACAAACCAAGTGACCTCAACCACACCTCCTAAGTCTTGCCCTGGAGGCCTTTCACCATTTTGGTCACCCTCCTCTGGACACACTCTTAATAGTTTGATGTCCTTATGTTAAGGTGCCCAAAACTGCACCCAGTACTTAAGGTGGGGCCACACCAGTGCAGCGTAGAGTAGGACAATCACCTCCCTTGGCCAGCTGGCCATGCTGTGCTTGATGCACCCCAGGACACTCTTGGCCCTTTTGGCTGCCAGGTTACAGTGTTGACTCATATTCAACTTGTCATCAACCCAAATCCACAGATCTCTTTCCACAGGGATGCTCTCCAGTCCCTTGACCCCCAGTTTATAGGTATAACCAGGATTACTCCTTCCCAGGTGCAAAATCCAACACTTGCTCTTGTTAAACCTCATATAGTTGGTGATTGACCAACTCTCTAGTCTATCTAGATCTCTCTGCAAGGCTTCTCTACCCACAAGGGGGTCCACAGCTCCTCCTAGTTTAGTATCATCAGCGAACTTACTTAATGTACATTCAATTCCTTTGTCCAGAACATCTATAAAAACATTAAAGAGCACTGGCACACCCTGGAGAACCCAACTGGTGACTGGCCAACAGCCTGATGGCTACACTGTGAGCCTGACCCATTAGCCAATTGTTCACCTGTTGTATTATGGACTTGTCTAGCTGTGTGCTGGACATTTTGTTCAGAAAGTTACTGTGAGAGACAGTATCAAAAGTTTTGCTAAAATCCAAAAAATCCCCACATCTACTGGCTTCTCTTGCTCAACTCAAGGGGTGATCTTGTCATAAAAGGAAATTAAGTTCTCTCGTGAACCTGTGCTGGCTACAGCCAATGACTGCATTATCTCTCAAGTGTTTTTTGGTAATTCCCAGAATAACAACTCTCCATAATTCTACCAGGCACTGAAGTGAGACTGACAGACGTGTAATTACCAGGGTCTTCCTTCTTACCTTTCTTGAAAATTGGGACATTTGCCAGCTTCCAGTCAATTGGGACCTCTCCAGACTCCCAAGACTATTGAAAAATAATGGAGAGAGGTCCCACAATGACAATGGCCAGCTCTTTCAGTACCCTGACATGAATCCCGTTGGGCCCCATAGACTTATGAGCATCCACCTGGAGCAGCAAATCTCAAACAAGTTCAGGTTTGGCTGCAAGTTTATCATCCCCCAGTTGTGGTCTTCCAACACAGGGCTCTTGGGGTCCCACAGCCCATCATCGGTGTCGAAGACAGAGGCAAAAGAAGGTATTAAATGTCTCCAATTTTTCTACGTCCCTATTTGTGAGGTGATGAACCAATGTTAGCTCTGATCCTCTTTTTGCTGTCAATGTATTATAAAAAGCCCTTTTTGTTGTCCTTCACAGTACAGGCCAGTTTGAACTCCAACCGAGCTTTGGCCACATGAATTTTCTCCCTACAATGGTGAGCACCATCTCTGTAGTCCTCCTGTGTCACCTGTCCTTACTTGCAATGTCCATACACTCTCCTTTTCCACCTAAGTTCTAGAAGATCCTTGCTCATCCAAGCCAGCCTTCTGCCCCACTTGCTTGACTTCTGACACTGGAATCGCCTGCTTCTGTGCTTTTAAGTGATGGCTCCTAAAAAGTGACCAGCATTCATGGACCACAACAGCTTCAAAAGCAGATTCCCATGGGACCTTACTAACTGGTCAGCATATTGGGCCTTCTGTTCCCCTCAGAAGAAAGTCTCCTATGACAATAAACTGTCTTTTTTACTTAATGGAAGTGGTTTTAATGTGGGGTGCAGGTTGACTTGACCTTGGCAACACCTCCAGCCTAGAAGGATCATTGTCCTCATTACTGTTTGGTTCCACTTGCAGAGCCTCATACCTATTACACAGGGGCACCTGGGAAGATGGGGTAGTCATGGAAGAGATGCACTTGCTCCCTTGGGCAGGAACTTGTTGCCACTTCCCCCTGTCCCTGAAGTCACTACATTCTGCCAGGTGGAGGGAGGATAGGGAATCCAGATTCCCAGAATCATCTCAGTTGGAAAAGCCCTTGAAGCTCCTCCAGCCCAACCATGACCCTCACCCTGACCATTCCCAACTCCCCCAGATCCCTCAGCGCTGGCTCAGCCTGACTCTTCAACCCCTCCAGGGATGGGGACTCCCCCCCTGCCCTGGGCAGCCCATTCCAACGCCCAACAGCCCCTTCTGCACAGAAATCCTTCCTCAGAGCCAGCCTGACCCTGACCTGGTGCAGCTTGAGGCCATAACCTCTTGTCCTGGTGCTGGGTGCTTGGCTCAAGAGACTCATCCCCCCTCTCTGCACCCTCCTTTCAGGGAGCTGTAGAGGGCCAGGAGGTCTCCCCTCAGCCTCCTCTTCTCCAGACTAAACCCCCCAGTTCCCTCAGCCGCTCCCCAGCAGACCTGTACTCCACACCCTGGCCCAGCTCCGTTGCCCTTCTCTGGACCCACTCGAATCATTCAATGGCCTTTTTGGGGTGAGGGGCCCAAAACTGTACCCACTCATCGAGGTGCAGCCTCACCAGTGCCGAGTACAGGGGTAAGATCCCTTCCCTGTCCCTGCAATCCCCTGTATTATGTGTCCTGTCCACCTGACAGGCCTGTCCCAGGGGAGGTAGGGTGCGATTCCAGCAATCTCTCTCTTTTGGACTCCCTGAGACTCCTGGACCTAATCATCTCCTCCCAGAGCTCTGCCGCTAAGCAGAAGAGTTCCTCTGGCAGGTGCAGCTCCCACACGTGTGCTCACTACTGCCGTAAGTGCGGGGCACATGCTGCAGCCCGGCATCTGGGAAGCAGCACATTGCCACCGGAGGAATATGGGAAGCTGCAGCCATCAGGGACAGAGCCTGCCCAGCAGAAACCACTGCTCCCTGATCCACCCAGCAGTTACAGCACCTTCCCATGTGCCCTGCTGCACACGGCTGATGCTCCCTTTTTATAGTTGTGGGGGCTCGGCCATGGCAGCTCTTGACACTATCCTGGTCTCGGCAGCTGCTCTTGCCCAAACTGCCAGATCCTGGTGGGTCTCTCCACCTCCCTGAGGTTTCCCCAGTTCAGGAAACCCCCTGATACACCACGCCAGAGCACTCCACTGCAGGCCATGCCAGCACCGGAGCTGCTCACCTCATCTCACCTTCAATCCAAAAGGGAAGAGCCAAACAGGAGCTTCACCATTTGTAGCAGCCTTCAAAACAGCAACTGCCACAAAGGGTCCCCGCTGCAATGTCACAGAGCTGCCCGGAGAACCCATCCTGGGCAGCCATGTCCAAAAGACACTTCTGAAAATTCAAAACATCAGAGTCTTTAATATAATTAGTTAACCTGAAAATGGGGAAAGAGACCACATGGGATTAGTGCTGCAACCTCAAGAGAGGAAGCATGCACTGTCTGTATCTTCTTTTAGCCAGGAGAGGCAGGAAGGAACACACTAGGGCTAGGCAGGACAGGGTAGTATTGAGCACAGGGACTGGAACTGTCCTGATCCCTATTACTGTTAAGTTTTAAGCACATCCAAGATGTACACAAATAAGAATCAAAGCCTCATTTTATATGATGCTCCAACATCTTTAAGCATTGTCATCTCTCTCGGCAGGAGGGAACATGAGTGAGACAGGGCTGAGAACCTGCCAAGCCTGCAGCAACAAGCATCAAGGCTTTGCTCCTGCAAACTTCTCCCTCCTGCCTCACTTGATGTTCCATGCTCTCCCCAGATGATGATGATGACAATCTCTTCTTCCTCCCTCCCTCCAAGCTCCCTAGACCAACAAAAGGGGAAAAAAAGAGCAAGTTTCTCCTTGATGTCTTACCAAGGGGTAAAGCATTCTTTCTCCTGGAGAACAACAGGACAAGAGAAAAACATCAGACATCTCCTGGATGCAGGAAACCCAACACCTCTCCCCCACGATTGTTCCAGGCAGCTGAGCTGCAAACTGGAACTGGATATACTCACTCCTTCCAGCATTTCTGTCTGCATTGGGCTCTCTTCTCCTCATCACCGTATTCCTGCTCCGTGGGTGTCAAACAGCTTCTGCAACAAGACCAGTCTGAGTGTGTGAAAGAACAGTTTGACTCCCTTCTCCCACCAAAAATTTCCACGGTTTGGACATCTATGCAGTGTCTCTCATCTTTCAGGATTTCAGATAATAAAAGATGCCAGCTTGATGCCAGTGCCAGCAATAGATGCCCAGAGGCTGGAGAGGGTTCAGCAGGAGAGCACCTGAAGAGCAGCAGAGAGGAATTCCAGTCAGAAAGTCAGCTTCACTGCAGGCCCAACTTAAATGCCTCTACGCAAATGCACATAGCATGGGGAATAAACAAGAGGAGCTAGAGATGTGCACACACCTGCAGGGCTACAATCTTATTGGCATCACGAGGATGTCATGGGATGGCTCCTTCATGGATTGCTGGAATGGAGGGTACAGGCTCTTTAGGAAGGACAGACAGGGGAGACAAGGGGGGGGTGTCACCCTCTATGTCAGTGCCAGCTGGAGTGCAGGGAGCTCTGCCTGGGGACAGGTGAGGAGACGAGCAAGAGCTGATGGGTCAGGATTAAAGGGAGGGCAGGGACAGGTGATGTTATAGTGGGGGTCTGCTTCAGGCCACCCAACCAGGAAGACCAAGCAGATGAGTCCCTCTATAGACAGATAGGAACAGCCTCACATTCACAAGCCCTGGTCATCATGGGGGACCTGGTATCTTTTGGAGGAAAAACACTGCAGTGCATAAGTGGTCCACAAGGTTCCTGGACTGTGTTAGTGATAAATTCCTTCTTCAAGTGATAGAGGAGCCAACAAGGAGAGGTGTACACTGGACCTTGTTCTCACCAAGAAGGAGGAGCTGGTGGGGAATATGAAGCTCAAGGGCAGCCTTGGCTGCAGTGACAATGAAATGGTGGAGTTCAAGACCCTTAAGGTAGCAAGGAGGTCTGTCCAGGGATGTCAAGAGCAACAAAAAAAAGCTTTTACACGTACATCGGTGATAAAAGGAAGACTAGAGAAAATGTGGGCCCTCTCTGGAAAGAAACAGGAGACCTGGTCATCCATGGCATGGAGAAGGCTGAGCAATCAATGACATTTTGCTTCAGTCTTCAGCAGCAAGTGCTACAGCCTCATCATCCAAGTCACATAAGGCAAAGGCAGGGACTGGGAGAATGAAGAACCACCCACTGCAAGAGAAGATCAGGTTCAAGACCATCTCAGGAACCTGAAGGTGCACAAAGCCTTGTGACGTGATGAGATGCGCCCACAGGTCCTGAGGGAACTGGCAGATGAAATGGCTCAGCCACTATCCATGATATTAGAGAAGCCGTGACAGTTCAGTGGTTGGAAAAGGGGAAACATAACCCCCATTCTTAAAAAGGGAAAAAAGGAAGACTCAGGGAACTACAGGCCAGTCAGTCTCACCTCTGTGCCTGGCAAGACCCTGCAGCAGATCCTCCTGGAAAATATGCTGGGGCACATGGAAAATAAGGTGACTGGTGACAGCCAACACGGCTTCACTAAGGGAAAATCGTGCCTGATTAATTTGGTGGACTTCTACAACGGGCTTACAGCATAAGGGAAGATCAGCTGATGTCATTTACCTGGACTTGTGCGAAGCATCTGACATGGTCCCACACGACATCCTTGTCTCTAAACTGGAGAGACGTGATTTGATGGATGGATCACTCAGTGGATAAGGAATTGGCTCAAAGAGTTGTGATCAACAGCTCCATGTCCAAGTAGAGAGCAGTGACAAGCAGCATCCTCAGGGGTGGGTGTTGGGACCAGTGCTGTTTAACTCTTTGTTGGTGACATGGACAGTGGGATCGAGGCACCCTCAGCCAGTGCACCAACGACACAGAGCTGTGTGGTGCAGTGACACACTGGAGGAAAGGGATGTGCCATCCAGAGGAACCTGGACAGGCCGGAGAGATGGGATGTGCAAACCTCAAAGAGTTCAAGAAGGCCAAGGGCAAGGTCCTGCACATGGGTCAGGCCAATCCCAAGCACAGATACAGGCTGGGCAAGGAGTGGATTGAGAGCAGCCCCACGGAGAGGGACTTGGGGATATTAGTGGATGGAAAACTGACTGTGAACCAGCAATGTGCACTCACAGCCCAGAAAGCCAACCATGTCCTGGGCTGCATCAGGAGAAGTGTGGCCAGCAGGTACAGGGAGGGGATTCTCCCCTTTGCTCCACTCTCTTGAAACCCCCCCTGCAGTGCTGGGTCCAGCTCTCGGGGCTCCAACATCAGAAGGACATGGACCTGCTTGAAGTGGGGCCAGAGGAGGCCACAAAGATGCTCGGGGGGCTGGAGCACCCCCCTGTGAGGACAGGCTGAGAGAGTTGGGGGGTTCAGCTGGAGAAGAGAAGGCTCCAGGGAGAGCTTACAGCGGTCTCACAGGACTGAAAGGGGCTACAGGAAAGTGAGGAGGGACCCTAGATCAGGGAGTGTAGGGATAGGATGATGGGTAACAGTTTTAAACTGGAAGAGGGGAGATTTAGATTAGTTATAAGGAAGAAATTCTTCCTTGTGAGGCCCTGACACAGGTTGCCCAGAGAAGCTGTGGCTGCCCCCTCCCTGGAAGGGTTCAAGGACAGGTTGGATGGGGCCTTGGGCAACCTGGGCTAGTGGAAGGTGTCCCTGCCCGGGGCAGGGGGGTTGGAACCAGATGATCTTTAAAGTCCCTTCCAACCCAAACCATTCTGTGATTCTGTGATTATGATTCTATGAAGATCAAGAGAACAGCTGAAGAATCAAACACTGTGCTTAAAGGGCTTAAGGGAGAAAAAGCCACTTGAATCCCAAAATAACAGATATGAAATGAAGTACAGACTGTGAGACAGAGTTCAGCACACCACACAGCCAGTCATTTCTGCTTCAGTTTTGAGTTGGCAGAGAAATGCATTATAACCCATGTGGGCAGCACAGACCACTAATGCCAGCTGCTTCAAAGGAAAGGAACTGTCATGGTCATGTGTTTCGCAGAAACAGTCTATAAGAAAAGTTCCCTCTATGTACCACTGTACATTCGCAATGAAGTCTTGAAGTACAAGATAAAAATCCTGCTTATACAGGTTTAAAACAGAAATGTAACTAATACTTTTCTGGCAGCCTCAAGTACTGCACAGGTGTTTTCACTGAACTGTCCAACACATTCTTAGGTCTCCGTCCTCAGACAACTTAGAAATTATCTGTACACCTAGGAAATCCTAATTACTACTTCCACAGCACCTTACCTTGCTTGTTCTGGTCTGCCACCACCTTGTTGATTGCTCAGTTGAACCAGGTCAGTCTGAAGGTACTCACGAATCCCACAGTCTGTTTGTCTGGCTTGACAATGAACTGTCTCCCATCTGTCATCTGTTCTGCCTCCTCTTCCAGATCACTGACTTTTAATGTATCAGAGCTTTAAATGGAGGCATTACTTTCCTCCTCTGTTGAAAAGTGGCTTTACTATCTAATTTCTAGGCTATAAAATAAAAACTCACTCCTCAGCCTCCAGAGCCAACTGGTTTCCTTAACAGTTTATCATGAAGGCTGTCTTTGTGGAATGCTGAGCTTCAACAGATAATGGCAATTCAGCCATATAAACTAGTTGCACCCTGGAATTTGTGGATCAGAGAAAAGGATTTTCCTGCAGTAACATCCAGACGGCTGGTCTCAGTCAATTCTTTCTGCTTAGCATTTAATCTAAGCATTCTTGGCAAGGAAGTAAAGCTTTTTTATTCTCCAACAGGTCAGAAGATCTCAACAAGAAACTGTATTTTCTTATTAGCAGTTTTGACATTTGACTGTAATTCAAGCAGCACATTTAACTAAAACCCATCCAATCCTTCAGAAGCATTATAATTTAAATGGCCAGATTCATCTAGATCAAAGGCTGTTATTTCAAAGGCATCAGGAAAAAAAGGGGTCACTGACCAAAGCAAGCATGTGCTGAAACATGTTCCTATTTTAACATCACCTGTTTTAATGAAGATCTGTATTCACAGGTATGTGGAAGGAACGCAGGAAGTCAGGCATTTGACAGAAACTGTTTGTATTTCAAGGATGTGAGATGGCATGGAATAAAGTAATCCAGGACTCAATTCATAAGTCTACCTGTATCTGGGGAGGCAATGGAGATGACAAAACCAGCTTTCTGGTAACAGTGTAGAGTCAGCCTGGTCAGGGATCTTTCCCCGCTTCAGAAACATTTCACATTGTACCTGCATCCAGTCTGGCCTCTCTGCAAAAAATAGTGCTCAGTCAGGTGTGGAGTAAACACCAGGAATGCCTGTTCAGAATGAGCACTGCCACCAGCCCCCAAAGCAATTCCAGCCCATGTGGCACAGGACATGGGATGGCCCAGTGCAGCCAACATGTCTCTGCTCTCCCAGGGACACCCTGCCCACAGTGTGGCATCCCTCCCAGAAACCACCAGCACAAACTCCACAGGTTCCAATCTCAGTTCCCTACAGGAAAGAGGACTCTGGTCACCCCTCAGCAGCCTCTGCTCCTCCTGGTGGCACATTCCCACCCCACCTTGGCCAAAGGAAACCCCCAAGCCTTTAACACTGGCAGAACAGTGGCAAGCTGGTTCCTACGCTGCATCCACATTTCCCAAGTTCATCTGTGCCATCCAATAGCTGTTGAGTTTCTGTCCCAACACAACAATCATCTGTCTGGAAGGAAGAACTCTGTAAGAAGCTGAGCAACTCCCACTGGCATAACAGGAAGCACAAGGAACAACCAGGGCAAACACAAACCCCTTCCCCAAGAATGTGACCTACACTTGTGATTGCTGTTTTTAGGTTGGCACCTTAGCAGCCCTTCTGTATCACCCAGCTCACAGCTGCAAAAAATGGGCCAATATCTTCATCACCTAAAAAAATCAGGGTACAGGTCCCTTTCCCCAAGTGCAGCCTTCCCCAAAGTGTGGAGTGCTGCACCCTAAGGAGAGCAGGGGCTAGTGCCTGCTTCTGCACCCCTTAACTGGAGGCTCCACATGAGCATCCATTTTTTTCTTTTGGCTTTATAGGTGTGTTCCTGGTTTGGGCAGCTCTGCTAATGTGTACATGAACACAGGTTTCATTTTATTTCAGAGAAGTCTCCTCAGGGATGGAGTCTTGTGAGGGAATGAGCTTGAGGAACACAGAGACTGTGTCCTTTCCTCAGCCCAAGGCTATATGTTTGCACCAGACTTTCAGGATAAAATTCTCCATGCTCTCTAGGGGCACTAGATAAGGAAAAAATGGCCCAATCTGAGGCTGTTTCACAATAAAAAGACCTAAGAACATGTACAGTGCTCAGAACAAAGGCTGTACCACATAAAAACCTTCTCCTAGCAGCAGCCTTGTGCACAGGTCTCTCTTATCAGTACTCTGCCTTCTTCAAAGTCCTCTGTTATGTGCTTGATTCAGGAAGTTGCATTGTTACACCGATCACACTTAGACCTCCCTGCACCAGGAGGAGCCAGAAATTAAGGGAAAGAACTGCCTTAGCCAATTCTGCTCAGAACAAAAAAAACCCCAAAACAACAACTAAGTAGTCATTTGGAGAGCAATGAGATCGCAAAGCCCTGATACAAAGGTTGATGGCAACACCATGGCCTGTGCATTGCATGCCAACAGCAATATGAGGTTCAGACACCCCGTCCATGAAAAGGTATTATGGGCATATAATACTGAATCTTTTTCTTCCAGAAAACAGAGCACAGACTGGCTACTAAGTGACCAAAATTATCTATGGCAAAGATGGTCACCCCCAAGGCATGCCATAGCTCTGAGATACTGCTGCAAGATAACACTAGAAGCAAATGCTGCAGCAATCACTTCCTAACAGAGTCCAGGCTGTCCTGCCAGAGCAGATCCCCTTCTGGAAATCACCTTGGTAGCACCTCCAGCCACAGCAGTATTAAAGAGTAGCTGGACATCTCTAGTTACCTAAAACCCTGACAGGCAGTCACTGTGCAGGTGCACACACTGATCTGATCCTAGGGACATGCCAGGTCTCCTTATTCAACTCTGGACACCATGCAATGTAGAAGCAAGGATCTAAAACAAGGTTGCTTTTTGCAAAGCCCCATTCTCCCCTCTCCCAGATAAGAGGTAAAAACAAGTCCAACTCCTCACCTTCCTTTGACATCCCACCTTCTCGTAGGATCTGATGAGTCAGTTGTTGTGGTACATCATGATCCCATAGTAGCTTTTCTTCTTGCAGGTGAATCCAAAAACGATCTTCACCCTTTTGCTCTGAGGAAAAATGTGTCAAGGAAGAAATAAACAAGCTCCAGAGGAGGATCGGGGGAGATGCCCGTTCCACAGGTTCCACAGGTAGGAGTGAAACATTCCACAGAGGCCGCAGCATCAAGTTGCCCAGGCTGCCTTCCTCAGCACAACACCTTCCCTCTTCAGCAGGGGAAAAGCGCTCAGCTCTGGCCTGCTAACAACAAACCTGTGCACGCAGCCAACAATCACAGATAAGAACACGCATAACTAACTGGAGGGCAGTTGGAAACAGCTGTACAGAGCGGAGCCAGTCTGTCACTGCCAAGTCAAAATATGCCTTGGTTATAACTTTAATAAAAACTCTGATACGTGTTTATATTACCCTGATAATGGAACAGGCAAGATCTGACCAAAGAAAAGTGCCTTGGAGTATATCACAAATGAGATAACTAATGACTTACAATTTTACTTGTGCTTAAAAGATAAATGACCAACATTTACAAAACGAAATCAAGCACATCCAGTCGGGGCTGAAGAAATCTTAACAACTAACAATGACACTACGGTACATCAAAGAGTGAGCTCTCCTTCAGCATACTCCAGTTTCACAAATTCAGTTCTAGACAGACCACTATTAGATGGTGAACTGTGAGGTTTGGGTTAAAATATTGCATTAACCACTTTTTGTCTGAATATATTTTAATTTGCTTACTTCTTAAGAGTCAGAGCTCATGAATTTGCAATTTGCATGGTCATCACATGCCTGCCAATGCAATGCTACTTTATCTGTACACCGAAGGTGCTGAACTCCAGATCTCAAGGATCTGTTATTTTATGTACACCAGCTATGCAAAGCCAAAGACCCTTTGAAAGCAAGTGGAAAACCAGTATGGCTTGGGCACTACCAGTACAGGTTTCTAACCTTCTGCATTTCTGCAAATCATCTCAAAACACAGTGGCTGTGTAATCTCTGGAGAGAGCATTAGCACACACATATGGAGCTACAAAACAGGAAAGCAGCTTTGTTGGTTCTCCAATTTCTCACTAAGTATGTAGGTGCAGAGATTAAGTAACACCTCTTCATCTTTGGTCAATCTTTTCATATTAGCATAAGCACAGAAATTCGTGACACAAAATGGCCTTTAAAGCATGTAGCAGGAGAGAGGATAAAAGATGCTCAGGTGTAGTTCAAAACAGCTTAAGCAAAGTTCTCTCTGGGAGAGATTTGAAGGGTAGATTGTTCTTTGCACTTGGCTCTACTTGGGGATACTGATTTCTGTTCTGTGGACACTGGTCTCTAAAAACATATAAGCAGGTAAGCCAAAAAAGTCATCTCACTCCCAGAAGAGCTGCAGTGGCCTAAGAGTGGGTGTAGGGAATGAGAATTAACATGCGACAAGAACTCAAATGACCAGCTTCTAGTCAGACAGGAAAAGTCAGCAACCAGCTGCTGCTGAACAGGTCAGAGGGGAAGAAAGGCTTTCCTGGTCTCATTATACATCTTGATAAAGTGTTTTTCCACTGAATTGAATAATGCTGTCATTTAAAACACATTTCAGTGGATATTTTCCCATGCAAAACTGATCAGTCAGCAAAAGACTCAAGCCTTTCTCCACCTACACAGCACATCAGCCCTAGGGTATGTCGGGAACTGGTTCACGTCCGAGGTGAGCCATAAGCCCTATGATGAGCTCCAGCAGAAGCAGCTCTGAGGACTCCCTTCTAAGCTTCCCATCAGGATGTGGCTTCTCAAAGGTGACCAGAAGACAGGGAGGAGAAGACAGTTCAGACTCTCTATTCATTTAAATCTTGAGTTTCTCTGTGCATCAGATCAGACAGGCCTGAGCCCAGCTGTGAAGTTGGTCTGGAACTCCCCAGAGTGCTGAGGCTGTTGTAAGCACAGCGCCAAGAGGTGGCAGGAAGGATACAATGAATCTTGGCTTGCAAAAATCATATTCAACAGTGGCCAGACTCTTGGTGATCAGATGAGTGTTCACCTTCTTCTGCAGGACAATCTGCATGCAAGGCTTCAGGTACAAGACACTGTAGTGTGCTTGGGAGAGGGGACAGCACAGCAGAACAGGCAGGAGAATTCTAGTTGCATGGAGTCTTTTCCAGGTGAAGCCAAAATCTAGTTCGGATTTAATGTTTTTCATCGTCTGCGAGTCATGCACAGAACAAAGCCAGGGAAGAACCATCCTGCTCCCTTTCAGATCCTGCCAACTTACCCATAATGAATACTCCATTTCTGGGCCAGGAAACTCTGGAACCATCTTCTCAGAGTGCAGAACTTTTCTGCTGGGAATGTCCCCATGGTCTGCAAGGAATTCTGCTATCCAAGTATCATGCTTGTGTGTATCAAAATCCAGCTCCAGCTTCCCATCTTTATTTCTGAAAAACACCAAACACAAAAATAAAGACAGTCTCCTCCAATCATCAGCACCCTGGTCTGCTCTTCTGTATCAGGATCCCAAGGGAACTTCCTGAGGTGCAGATAAAACAGCGTATTTCACACACTCCATGGATCTCATTAGTCAGTCATTTAATTAGAAGCATTTCTGTGCAGAACACCAAAGTAGCAGAACACTTCAGAACAGTCTTGATAACGCAGAAATATGGAAGTTCCATTGCACAGACGGGAAAAGGAAGTAAATGTATTAATTGGTTTCCTCTGAAAAAAAAAAAGCATGCCTGTGACAGGCAGAACTAGACCCATCTCTCCTAACATCCAGCATGGCACCCCAAGCTCTCCTTCATAAAGAGGGAGGAAGCAGAAATCCCTGTATTTGTTCCTTCGATGGCCAGGGTGGATGACAACAGGCTTAGACCACCCATGTCAGGCACTGTCCTAAAGCCGTCTCTGCTTTTTAGCCCTTCCTCATCCTCAGGGCACCACTGCCTCACCACACACCCCAGCCCCGAGAATGTTCCAGGGAAGAATGCATGTGCCCTTCTTGCCTGGAATGTCATCAAACTGTGCCAGTAGCTGGTGTTGAGGAGGTATGGTCCAGGATGGCATCCAGGCTAGGCACAGAGTCTTCAGTAGCAATCATTTTCTCTAGAAGCCACAGAGTCAAGGAAAACACAGCTGCCCAGTCCGCCTACCTCTGCTTTTGCCACAGGGGAACAAAAAAAAATCCAGGTGCAAAGATCTGGCCACAGGCCTGACACTCCAAAGAGGTATGACACAGGAGAAACTACAGGAGGATGAGCTTGGAGAAAGACTGAGCCAGGACAAACAAGACAGTAGGATGTTTTGACAAAAAACACTTAAAAGTATCGAGCTGAGTGGGGGGCAGCAGTGTCACGCAGCTGATAATGTACAAGCAGTGCCAGGGAGCTGCATATTCTCAGCTCCCTTTGGCATGAAGGAAGCACAGGCTGGAAGGCAGCACCAAAGGCCATTACAGATGCAGAAAAAAAGCAGAGAGTGTAGTGAAACAAAGAAATTAACAGTCAGAATCCAACATAACTGTTAAGCAGTTATTCTTTATCAACAGTGCTGGTGTCGCCCAGGGGATTCTCCACCATAAGGGATCCCAAGAATTAGTAAGGGACATCAGTTTACACACACACAAATCATACATATTCATTAGATTATCTGGAAAGGGGTGTCTTATGATAATGAGTTCCCAGAATTCATTTACATAGTCCCGGCATGCATAGTAAAATAGGATGAGGGTCCTCGGTGGTCGAGGGAAGAAGTAAGCAGTCGTCTTCACAGTGTTCACTAGTTGACCCTCTTTCCAGAGCGTGTGCTGTGCAGTAAAGTCCAGGTGCCTCCCTCCTGAATCAGCAGAATCATCCTCCTTAAACAGGGTCTCTGTATCTCTTTGTTTAAACCCCCTCTTATTTTAGTTTT